AAAGACACAGAAGGATCTTAAATCAGTATTACTGAGTGAAAGGAGCCAGTCTGTAAAGACTATATATTCTGCTTCTAACTGTATGATATTCTACACTATAGAGATAGTAAAAAGCTTAGTGATTGACAGGAGGGGGGGGATAGACAGAGCACAGAGGATATTTAGAGTAGTGAAACTGCTCTATATGACACTATAATGGCGGAGGCATGTCATTACACATTTGTCAAAACTCCTAGAATGGGCAGCACCAAGAGTGAACCTGATATAAACTAAGGACTTTTGGATGTACATCTCTGATGGTGAATGTTAACAGAAAAAGCTGTGCATGTGTGGAGACAGAGAGCATATGAAAAATCTCTGGCCATTTGCTCATTTTTGCTGTGTACCTAATCTTAAAAAAAAAAGTCTATAAAAAAAATTTATGGCCTCATAAATTAGCAGTCAGATCTGGTGATTCAGCTGAACTTCTACCTTAAGTATATAGAAAAGAGCACTTGTTTTGATGTTTGAAAAAAAAATTGTTCTTTCACCTGGGAACCAAAAGGAAAAAAAGGCTAGATTTACAACCTTCTTATTCCTTTAGTATCCTTTAAAAAATCTGAAGCCAGAGTCTTCATATCTAAAGTTTCCAATTTTACTTCTAATTCACAAGGAGTGAGGAAAGGTTTTTAATTCTTTTTAAGAGAAAAAAACTAAGAAAATTTTTTTAGCAAATAGATTTTGCCCATAAACATTTTGATGAGTCCCATAAACATTTTGATGAGTCCAGTGGAAACAAACCAAAAATAGCCTCCCCCAAAAAAATGTGGATTGCGGGGAAAGTGCTAGAAAAACACATCTTGTTTTTCCTTATTGCAAAATATTTGAAAAAGGATTTGTGACTTCATTGAATGTGCAGAACAGATAAACATGCTTGATTTAGTAGACAAGAGACTTCTTATATTCCTATCCACATCATGTCACAAAGAGTCTTTCTGGGGACAACTTATCTCTTCTGAACCTCTCAAGAATGCTGTATTGTCTCCCAAATCTACTGAAACATTTGACCTAGTATTTTCTCATCACCACTTTCAGATCTTTTCTGTTTCCTAAACCCCTATTTCAGCCACTCTCCCACCTTGCTGCCTTCAGCCCCTAACTTCCAGGTCACTCCCCATTGCTCCTATAGCTCCCAGCTCATTCTCAGTCTTTAGCTCCACTCCTAGTTGTCATCTTTTCAGTAGTCAGACCTCTCCATTCCTTGTATTCCTCTTGATCTTGTCCTCCATCCTACCTCCATCACACATTGCCACTGTACCCTCATCTTGTCCTTAGCAATAGTTGCAATGACTTTAATCTTTATTACAGCATTCCACTCTCTTACTATAAGCTCATAGCTTTTCCATTTATTCTCCATAACAGACCCAATTACAGTAATTTTAAACCACATTTGGATATTGATGTATTAATTCTATCAGTGCCCATTCTTCCTTCTACTAAAATTTCATGGTCAGTCATTACGAAGTAACCCCCTTGTATACATCCTCAGTTCCTCAACACCTCTCACATTTTAATGTGCTAGCTTGACAAATCACAATCCTGATTAAATCCAACTCTCCTCTCATTATAGGCCTAACTTGGTTGAAGTGAACCACAGAACCATGATGTCAGGACTCATGAACCTCAAGTGAGCCCTGAATTCAGCCAGAAGTTGTACATTTCGCCAGACCATAGTCTTCAGTTTACTCTTATGTTTATTCTCTTGTTCACACCTCCAATACCTCATCTCCTGTTCTTACTCTCAGCAGATGATTCGACTTTCTCAGAAAATTGACGCAACCAAGGGAAATTTCACCATCTCCCACCATATCTATCAACCTTCCACAGTCTGTACCACACCTCCTGCCTTCCTGCTTATTACTGTGCTCCCCTCTAGAAACTGCCCCCCGACCTGGTGCCCTCTCACACACTCAAGAATGTCAACACTCCAGCAATTTCCCCATCTTAATTTCACATCACACTTTGTCTTTAATGGATAGCTCCCATCAGCATGTAAAATCACTGCTATTTCTCTCATCTTAAAATCAAAACCACAGACATCTGCTCCTACCTCTACTTGTCCCACCAGCTCTTCTCCTCAGTAATCTCCACTTTTCTGTTCCCATTAGCATTTATACTCAAATATGTGTCCTGATTGACCAACAAAAAGAGAGAAAGGGGGAAAAAGTACAAATGAATATATTAGGAAATTTCACTACTCACATTGTAGATATTTTAGAAAATATTATAAGCAGCAATTTCATATATAAGTGTGAATTAGATGAAGTAGATGCATCTAATTCTAGATGAATTAGGGAGGATAATTTAGATGAAGGAGATAAGTTTCTAGTAAAAATATTAATTGCAAAACTTGATTCAAAAAGAAATAGTAAATATAAATAAAACAGTAGCCTTTAAATAAACTGAATTGGTAGTAAAAACCTTCACCATATGCCCTCACCAAAAAAAACCCAGCAGATGCAAATGACTTAATAGACCAGTTTCATAACACCTGTAGGAACAGATAATTCCTATACCAGCTATCCAAGTGACTATGAACCCAGTATTATCTTGATAACAAGATATGATGTAGTCAGTATGAGAAAGGAAAATTGTGAACCAATCTTACTTAGTTTTTTTTTAAATTCTAAAAAAGAAATAGAGTCCGAAGCACACACACTATGTCCAAGCAAGGAGACATCTAATGGCTTTCCCCACTTTTCCTTTTTGAAGAGATATTTTAACTCTGATGTGTGCTTTGCTTCCAGAGTCCTTACTCTGTGGAATTAGGTTTTAGAACTGGCGCTATAAGGAAACTTGCATTATCTCCATTCATGTTAAGAAAATATATTCACAATGTTTTTCAGCTTACGAAAGGATATTAAGATTAGCTAGCCAATATTGTGACATTGAGTCACAATGTTCAGGAGCTAGCCAGTATTAGTTCATACAGAGTGTATTTTTCTGAATTTCCCATGTTCCTGATATTCCTGAATGAATAAGCATAGTCAGTCTGATTAGTAAATTGGCTTCAGTTCATTATACACTCTGGAGAAGGTTATACCTCAAAAGTAGCCACTTGATATTATTTTGTGTTAGGCTCTGAAAGTGGCTGGCAGAGAGTCTTACACACATGAGATCCAATAAATGTTAGATTTTGTTTATTTCATTTCATTTCAGTCTACAACTTAGGGGAATTCAAAATAGGGAATGAGCCTAACCCTTGCACATGGACAAATCAAATTGAGCCTTCCTAGCAGTAGGCATTTTTATAAAGTGAAAAGAGGCAAATTATTGAAATCATGGACGAAGAAGAATGGGACACCAACCCTCTGTGACCTCTCACCTGCATGTCAAGCCTCCCACCCAAGGTCCCAAGACAGCAGAAGTTCATGGTCCAGGAGGCCCTCAAAGGAGATGAGCCTCTACAAAGTCTACTGACTGGGAAGAATTGAAGGCCATTGTCAGGGAAGAATTGAAGGCCATCTGAGAAGGAAGAAGATGCCAGTATGTTAGGCAGACCTCACAGCTATGGCTCAGATTCTACGGGTTCCCTCTCCTTGCTCTTCTCCATCAAAACCAGGTTCTACCTCTCATTGATTTATCTTCCCGAGTGGCTATGTCAAAAGAGTGAGGCAGGAGAAAAGAAAACACTCTCATAATCAAATCTTGCACACCCATAGAAAGCTATCTCCATTACAGAGTACATTCTGAGGCCTAAGTGAGTTCATAGTTCTCATATTGTTTTTTCCCAAGATAATCATACCAATGACCTTTGAGAAAATTTCAAATTCACCTTTTTTCATTCTTAATTTTTTCCCATGATTTCCTTTCAGAAACCAATAATAAATTGAAGTGGTTCTTCTCAAAATGGGATACAGTCTGCATATGCGGCTGTTCTTTGAGATAAATCATTTCTTAATCATTATAACATCAAAATATGGAACTTATTCCTGTAGTCAAAGATGTGGGGTGAAAACATTTAAAATTACAAGAAGCATGAATAAATTGTTAAATAGAACAAAAAATTCACATTAATTGTTAAGATAAAATGTTAGTCTCCAAAAATATATTTTATCTCTGATATCTAGATATCAGCAGCTGGTATCTGACTGCAGTCAGCTCCCATTCTTTGCTCCCTTTTCTCTGCCATTGAGAATTCTTCAAGATTACTTCAGTAGAAAAGTCTGAAAAGCACTGTTTATGGTAACATCTTACAGTGAATGAGAGTATTGCAGTTTTACCTTATAACCTAAGACATTGTGGAAGATATCTGAAAATCTAAAGATCAAATAGCTTTTAGCCTTTGACTAGTCCTGAGTTTGGGGGTCTTATGTGAGCTTGTATCTTAATTTCTGCATGTTCATCTCTGTGAGAAAGTTCTTAGTTATTCTTGAACCTCTCTACATATGCATATGCACAGTTTTAGACACGTAACTTTCTCTCTCTCTCTCTCTCTCTCTCTCTCTCTCTCTCTCATGCAAGGACACACACACACACAAACAGTGAGAGAGAGAATTCTTGGGACAATAGGCCCAAGGGACCAAATGTAGAATTTCAGGAGCTAGGTTCCCACAAAACACTCTGCTGAAGATAGAGATGACTTATAGCAAAAAGATGAGGCCTAATTAACTTGGTCCTACAAGCTTTCAAAAATGTTTTCCTTCCTGCTTCAACTCATCTGCCCAGCTTCTAGGCATCCATGTCCCCCTGGACTTCAAAGAGTCCCTACTGCAGCAGCTACAAGGACTCTAATTGTCTTATTTTCTAGTCTTCATCTCAGTTTAAAACTCACTCATTGAGTGATCCATTCAATTACATTGCTTTCCTCATGCCTGGTGACTATGCAAGGCAATATTTTCTTTTGCTTTGTTTGTTTGCTTATTGTTAAAATAACAAACATGCTAATCTTACTGATACACATATTTATTTGTGGCCATCCTAGAGTGCTATGATTATCAAAATGAAAAGAAAGGACATACCTATTGTAAGCTGTAGAAAGATGAATCAAAATCTCCGGCAAGATGTTGAGGATTGGAGGTAGAGGCAGTGGCATTCTCTTGAGCCCAAGAAGATTCTGAATCACACTAGGGTGAAGTACTTTGCCCCACTCTCTACTTCTATTCTCTATGGAAAAATAGTGCATACTATTATTAAGGTCACTGATGAGTCTATTTGCCCATTTAAATAATGTGAAGGCAGAAAAATTAAAAGTTGTGAATGAAGCCAATAAAATATTGGGCACTTCAAACATTGATTCTCTGTTGGTATGTCACAATTGCATATAAGTTACAAATGCCAGGCATTGAGTAGTTGCTGAATAAATATTAGATGGATTAATTCTACCCAGAGTTAAACAGAATTTAAACCTAGTAATGAACCTACCAATAAACATAAAAGCAAACCAAAATTGGCAAAGCTAGTGTAGTAGGGAACCAAACCAACAACCAGAGCCATATCATCTGAAATAAATTGTTAAAGTGGCTCTGGTCACCACACAATACAATCTGCCACATAACCTCAGATAAGGAATTGGTATAGTCATGGAGTCAAACAGAAATGGGTTTCAGGCCAGGTGAGATGGTGAACACCTGTAATCACAACACTTTGGAAGGCCAAGGAAGGAGAATTGCTTTAGGCCAGGAGTTCAAAACCAGTCTGAGAAACATGGTGAGACTTTATATCTACAAAATAAAAATAAATTAGCCAGGCATGGTAGTGCAATTTGGGAAGCTGAGACAGGAAGATCCCTTGAGTTCAGGAGTTCAAGGTTGCAGTGAGCCATGACAGAACCATTGCACTCCAGTTGCAGTGTAACAGGGCAAGGCCCTGTGGAAAGAAAGAAAAGGAAGAAAGAGAAGTCCTTATCTTGTCTTCTTCCTTTCCTTATCTTCTTTTCTTTCTGTTCTTTT